ACCTTATGTCATCTAACACTGAACACCAACCTCTATCACCATGTCACCTTCTAACACTAAACACTAACCTCTATCGTCACATGTCACCTTCTGACACTGGTTGCTAACTCCTATCACTATACTACCATGTTAATTATATGGCATTGCTCACACTTTTATATACACTCTCTATATGCGCAGTAGATGCCATAATTCGAATTGTTTTTGTTTTGTTTGCAATTCTTTTGTTATATATTACTCGCTTTATAATAAACAGCGAAATTATATTTACTTATGGTTTTTATCATTGAATGTATAACGATGATGGTGCAAAATTGCCTAAGAACAATCGTTGAACAATTCATGATTCAATAAACCGTGATCATGATTGTTTTGAGAGGTGTAATTAAAAATAGTCGGCACCAACAACTGAAAGTTACTATAAAACCATGTGGTGTGCTTGGTGTTTTATTCTTGTGGGTTCTACATATCATTGAATAGGGCACAACGTGTATTTGACCTCTTTTCATCTGTTTTCTTCCTAATTTTTCCAGTTATTCATCGAAGATTTCTGATTATTGGAATTATAACGTTTCACATTATCGGATCTAAAGACGATAGATACAAACAAACAAACAAACGAACAAACAAACAAACAAAATTAATAGATCAAACAGAATATATACAGAAACACAAAAGTAAATAGAATTACGAACAACAACAATGTGTTGTATTATGGGAAAAATAGTAGATAAAATAAATTACAACTAATCAAAATATTCGGCAGTGGGAACCTGATGGGAAACAATTGGAGATGAAAACAAGACGGATCAGATGATGAAAAAGACAGGATTATAAATGTAAGACACGGTAGAAATGAACACAGAAAAATACCTTGGAGCTACAAATTAGTGTTTTAGTCAAAGTTCGTATCATTTAGAAAATGATGCCGGACAATGATTCTTCATCTGTGAAGTATCTGAATAAAATGAGTGTATTGTACCATACAGGACACGAGTAACTACTAAAAGGTTTGGAAATTACACGCGCTTCACTCGGTTATCTCCGGTAATGACGTAAAAATGCACGTAATAT